CCGTCGCCCGGTGCGGGGCCCGCGCCCCCCAAGCAGGTGGGCTCCGGGTCGCCGGGCGTGAGGGCGGGGGCGGGCGGGCGCCGGGGCCGGGCGGGCGCCGTTTATGTAACTTTGTCAAATGCTGTGAGTTTGCAGAAAAACCTCCCCGCCGGGGTCCGCGGCTCCGCGCGTGTCGTAGCCGCCTTGAGCCCCCGGGGTTCGCGGGCGGGCGGGGGGCTGCCTGGGACCCCCTGGGCTCAGCCCGCGGGGCGTCCACAGGCCGAGACGGGGCCCGGTGCGGCTCGGGGGTGGGATCCGCGTTTCTCGGCGTTGCGAAAACACACCACGGAATCATAAGCAAATTATCTTGTATTTACATTGAGCGTTGAATTATTTGACACTGTTCTAGCAGGAGACCGTGTGTATCAGTCGGAAAGGCCGGGGGTGGGACCCAGTGTACTCATTTAATGCACATCAAAAATTTGTAATAACTTGAGGCAGCTGATATGAGTGTTTTCTTTATTGCATGTTGTAAATTGACCTGCTGTGACACAATTTTCAAATAAAACGTTGCAGAAATTAAACAAGTTATTTTAAAACTAATGACTTTCTTAACTAAATCCTAATTGCATGACTGTGGAGACCTACCTAATTGCTTGCTGAGAGCAGTTCTGCCTGCCCTCCGTGAGGGAGGAAAGGGCCTGTGTAGCCACTTTGCTGCCCCGTTTTTCTCTATTCAGGCTTTTCTGTTTATTCCCACAAATCACCGAAGCAGTTCAGGCCTGGGAGTAAACCTGTAAACAGCCCTGGCTCAGCGCCAGCCCAGCAGGACTGGGGGGGATACTGGCAGGTTTGCACCTTGACCTGGTTTCACTTTTTCTTTTGTAATATGATCGTGGTTGCCTGGAGTTTTAATTGCTTCTGATAATTCTGTGCATTATTTTCGGGACCGTCCAAAGAAGGCGGGTGTGGTGGTTTCAGGCCCAGCCAGGGAAGGTGGTGGTGGTGGTGGCAGCGGCGGCTGGGGAGAGGGAGGGAGGAAGGGAGGGAGATAGAGTTAAGGAAACTCAGCTGCTTGTACACAAATATACACTAAAGCAGTTACAAAGCAACAAAAGTTATTGCAGAATTTTGCAGTAACTATGGCAACACAATTACTCTATTATAATTGGAAATGCGAAATGCCACCCAGTTAGAAGTTTCATCAGAAAGGAGTTTTGGATATCAAAAATATGTGAGATGTAATTTTTTTTCAGGTAGCTCGTGTGAATTCTAAAATCTGTCTTCAATTACCTATTTTTAAGACTGATAGCGCTTTCCCAGATAGTCTACTCTGTGGGATCCGTGGCATCTTTCCCCAGAAGAACTCACATTTGTGTGGGAGGGAAGTATTTTCATGTCTTAAAAACACACCCCGACACATTGTAAGACTTGTATAGCTTTCTGTGTTCTGGGCTTTGATTTTAGAGATCAAATCCCGTCCTAAAGAGAGCAGTAATCTATTAGAAAAGAAGCCGCTGTACTCAGCAGGCAGATGTAACGCTGCCCTCTTTAGGGTTCTTTCTCCCGCAAGGAGAGCTGGCAGCAGGCGTGCCCCCGGGGGAGCCCTGGGCTAAGAGGCGGGACTGAGGGAAGATGACTGGACAGCACATAGGCCTGGAAGGCCTAGGGACAAGGACAGATGTGGCTTCAGAGCCCTGCAGCAGAGAGAATGTTCTGTGGTCAGCAGCTTCATAGCAATGCAAAGTAAAAATCCCCAAATGCCATGTTCTCAGAGGCTTTGGGGGCTGTTGCTGTAGCGAGATGGGCAGAACAGCCTGGCACGCGGGCCACGTGCGGCCCAGGCAGCCCATCTGGACTCTATCTGGCCAGAGACCTGCTTGAGAAGAAGGGTGCCCTGTGGATGTTTACCAGGAGGACTCCAGTGCTGGAAGTTTCCACACATTGTGGGGTTGCTGCAGTGTAATTTCCTTATAACTCTTTCCTTTAACTACTGCATATTTATGCCCAGTAATCGACTTCCATTCTCCAGCTTCATTGTGAGGTTTCAATGCAGCGTGAATGGCTTTGAATTCCAATCCTTTGATGTTGGGGGTGGCACCAAAGGAAAGGCGACTTTGTGCTGTCTTAATTGCCGGAGCAGAAGAAACATTTGGCTCCTGTAGAATTCGTCCATACTGTTCTCTATTGAAAACGGCTGGGCTTTCATAGCTCAGAAGCTGCCATGAGTAATATATTAATACCTGATGTAGGGTGCGAAGGAGCCTCAGAGGGCGAGAGAGCGGCTGCTGCTGAGGCGGCGGGGCGGCAGGCTGTGGCCGGGCTTTCCCTCCGAGGCCCAGAATTGATGACTGTAGCTGGGGTTAGGAGACATGGAGGGCTGAGGGGCCCAGCCTCCACCTAAGCTTGGGGCTGTGGAGCTGGGATTGAGCCCTGCCTCCAGTCTGCCCTGGGGTAAGGAGTCCAGGAAGGATGGACCTGGAGGGAGCGTTTGCTTTGATCTCAGGTGGTTAGCACGTGCCGGGCTGTGTGGTGGTGGGCTCTGGGTTTTTTGCCTTGACGTTAGAGGAAGGGACCTTACCTTCTGGTTCATGTGGGATGAGGAGTGCCATGTCAAAAGTGACGCTACCTTTGTATAGACCTTAAGTCATTCTTCAGCATTTCTCTGGGAACAGGTGTCACTAAACAAGGGTCAGGAAGGTCTCTTCATACGGTCAGCTTCTTCCCTGGGGCTTCTGTGAATGGGAAGAGCGGGGACCCATTTCAGGGTGGCATGTGGGCTGTAGTGTCTGCAGCCCTGAATGGTCATGTCCCCTTGCTGCGGCCTCCCGGACACACCTCCTACTCGCTTCCTAGAAGGAAGGTCGGGGTCCTACACAGATTGCCTGCACCGTGACTCCCTGTATTACTGTCGGGGATGAGGATGTCATTCCTGGGGCAAGGAGATGATGCCATGAGTAGCTGTCAGGTGTCGCGTAGCTGACGCCCGATGAGCACCTGCTTGGGGCTGGTGCTGTTTTACGCACTCACCACATAGGTGTCAGCACAGCCCTGCAGGTGGGCTCTGCCTCTGGAGGAACTGGGGGTAGGGTGAAATGGGCCACCCGCTGTCCCCTGCGCCTCCAGTCTCAAAGTCTAGCTCCTCTCCGTGCCTCTGCTTCTGGGCCCGGGGTGATCTGGAAGCTGAAGTTCAGCTTGTCGAGGTGCTTGGGCGAACACAGCCTCTTTGAGAAGAGGACAAGTTGGAATACCTTTCTAGCTTCGTGTCCTTAGACTTTTTCGTGCCGTGCTGACTGTTCCTTGGAGCTGTTGGAGGCGTGTTTCGGAGGGGTCTGGGAAGTACTTCTGGCTTTCTCATGCTGTCTTGTGTTAAGTGTGGCGCTGCAGAACTGGAAAACGTCGTGTTCTTCTCTCAAGAAGCCCCCAGGGCCCCTGGAGGGAGGTGGGGGTGATGGAAGGGAGCCGGTGCTCAGAGCCCACTTCAGTCAGTAGCTTTTAGTGTCTGCTGTTCAATCTGTTGATTACCTTGGAAGATTTTACAGCAAGAAGGCATTTGAAGACCAAAAACTTTGAAGAATTACCAGGTTAATCTACTCTTACGATACCAAGCCAGAAACCTTAAAGAAAATCTTCACAGATTTAATAGGATAAGAGTGTTTTAAAATCTCTTTGGCAAAAGACTCCATAAGCCAGGCTAAGAGGCAACAGGAGAAAAAATACCTAACACATTATGCCTGTGTGAGCTTAATAGTCAATATATAAAGAGTTTTTACAGACCAATAAGAAGAGAGTGAGATCACCCTTGCGAGGTGGGCAGAGCACACAAACGTGCAGATCATGACGGCGGGTGATGAAAGGCTTAGCGCTGCCAATCACTTCAGCCCGGGACAGTCCCCTTACGCCCATCACGTGGGTGGGCTTCATGATACCTGCTGCTGGTGATAAGAGGAATTCCTCTTTTGTAAGGTTTTTGCAGAGTTTGAATAAATTAATGCATAGAAATGGCCTTGAATGTGGCCTGGCGTGTAGTAAGCATGGTATAAATGCTGGCTGTTGTTTATTATCATTTGTTCTCTGGACAGACCAGTACACATTGTATAAAATATAATAGGGATGGGCAAGGTGGCTCATGCCTGTAATCCCAGCACTTGGGAGGCCAAGGCGAGAGGATCACTTGAGCCCAGGAGTTCAAGACCAGTCTGGGCAACATGGTGAGACCCCCATCTCTACAAAGTAGAAAATTGATCAGGCATGGTGGCCTGTGTTTGTAGTCCCCATTACTTGGGAGGCTGAGGCAGGAGAATCAGGTGAGCCTGGAAAGTCCAGGTTGCAGTGAGCCGTGATTACTTGACTGCACTTCAGCCCGAGTGGCAGGGCGAGCCCCTGTCCTGTTCCCCCCAAAACAAATTTTATATAATAAAATTATATGTTATGTATAAATACAAAATGGTAATTATTGAATTGCTCTCTAGAAAAGTCTTCAGTGTCAAAATCTTAAATGGCCATTCCCCTTGTCCCCACAATTCTACATTTTGAAATTTATTCTAAGAAAGGAATATAAGTGTCTGGAGGTGGGCGCCGCATCAGTTATAAACGCAGTACTGGTCAAGCCCGCTGGCATTCCTGCACTGTGGTCCCCTCCACGCTTGGACAGGCGGATGTGTGCAGCGCAAGAGGGAAAGGCAGGGCCCCGAGCAGTCCCCACGCCGCTCCCTCTGGTTTTAAGTACTTAAGTCTCTAAGGTGACCATCAGGGGTG